CGATGACTGTTTGATAATGACAGAAATAACAAACCACACAATTAAGGGCACCCACCAACCACCCGCTTGTCATCTCTATACGCTAATGACCCCAATAGTTTGTAGTATATATACTTTTTAATTCGGATTGCTTTTGTATTTGAGAACACACGCAAACACACACACACACACACACACACACACACACACACAAACACACACACACACAAAGCCCCCCCCACACCCACACACTCACTTACACACACATACTTACGCACTCATACACACATACACTCACACACACACATACTCACTTACACACACACACACACACACCCACCCTCACACACACACACATACTCACTTACACCCCCCCACACACACACACACATACTCACTCATTCACTCACTCACTCACACTGTCATGATGAGATGAAGAACACCAACCTTAGTGCAAATAACGTATGAGACCTTTTCACGATTAACGACCCACGCCCCTTGCTCTGCCCCTACATCCAACATCAGTTCACGCACCGTCTCCCTTATGCACGTGGTCTATTCAAATACTGTTGTTGTTGTTGTTGTTGTTTGTTTGTTTTTGTTGTCGTCATTGTTGTTATTGTTATTTTTGTTGTTGCTGTTGTTGTTATTGTTGTTGTTACTGTTGTCGCTGCTTTTGTTTTGGGACTTCCTGCAACTGAAGAGGATAGTTGGAGGTGGTCCAATTTCTTAACCTTCTTAATTGATTGTTTCTGTCTGTCTTGCTGTTTTCAAGACCGACTGAATTATAATCACCAAAGTGTCGATGCGCTTCATTTTACTCAAACAAAATAAAACTCCATAACTTGTTCCTGCGTCATGTTATGACATGTGTGTTTTGATTATACTTTTAGCTATTGATTTCAGAATGCTTTATATCTATCCCTGTCTTGGGGATTTAAAGAAACTGGCTATTTACCAGTGTGTGGTGTCTCAGCCAGCCTGAGGTTGCCCTTAGGCTCAAAGTAGCCAACCTTTGAAATGATCTAAAAATAGTCACGCTAATACTAAAAAAAAGAAATAATCTACGAGTATAGATATATGAATAAATAAATAATAAATAAATAGATATATAATTACTTGAATAAATAAATCATATACAATTGAATGGATAAACGGATGAATAGATTAATGATTGAATGAATGAATGAATGAATGAATGAATGAATGAATGAACGAATGAATGAATGAATGAATGAATGAATGAATGTATGTATGAATGAATGAATGAATGAATGAATGAATGAATGAATGAATGAAAGAACGAATGAATGAATGAATGAATGAATGAATGAATGAATGAATGAATGAATGAATGAAAAAATGGGCTCTGTTTTCCACCTACAGCTTACCCTGGCTGATATCGCAGTGTTTGACCTCGTCACTGGATGGATGAAGAACTTCATGGGCCCAATAGACAACTTCCCGTTGGCCAACGCTTTAGTGAGCAAAGTCGCGGCCAATGACAAGATCAAAGCGTACGTGGCAAAAAGGAAAGTAACTGAAGGCTGAGAGGGGAAGATACTGGACTTGGAAACGGCGTCATGTCTATGGAATCGGTTATTATGGAACTCTTTAGTTGGGAATGATTTAGCAAAATTTCAAAATATCTTTTTTAAAAATAATTTTGTTATAGATACACTATGCATAAACACATGCACAGATTTATCGGTTACCCGTATTCAAAGTGACAATGTTTTGTAGATTATTGACACGTTACAGCTATATCTACCTACATTATGGCATACTTATTACATGCTTGCATACACAGATCAACCCATTGTATTGTTCATAGCTACAAAGTGTCTCCTTTAAAAAGTCTCAATGTACACTACACTCTCATACATTAACACATACGGCACACAAACATACACACACACATACATACACAAAAACACTTGCACATACGACACATACACACACACACACACACACACAGAGAGAGCCACACGTGCACATACGACATACACAAGCACACACACACACACACACACACACACACACACACACACACACACACACACAGAGAAAGGATGCTGAAAACGCCAGGAGCCCCGAGAAGGGGGTAAGGGAGGTGAAGGGATGGGGGCAGAAAGTGGAGACGAAAGCAGACGACAGAACATTGTTCAAGAGCAGGAGAGGAGGTGAAAGGAGATAATTTTAGAGAAGAAATTTTTTCCCGGCGCTACCCGGATTCAAACCCGGGACTTTTGAATGAGAAGCAAACACCTTAACCTCTAGGCCACGAGAGAGGCCCCTCATATGGCTTACTTACCGGTTATAACATATATGTGAGGCAGCGTGGTGAAATCAGGATCTCGTCAATTTTTGGACATGTAAAGTTATTGATATCATCTTAAAGCTTGTTCACTTGTCTTTATTTTGAGGGAAAAAACATCCATTATCTTGAATACAAGTCGAGATATTTGCGAATGAAGGAGGTGGGGGGTCACCTGTTTTCAGAGGTAAAATTAATGAGAAAATGGCGGTAAAAGATTAGTAATTTCCAGAGCTTAAGAGTTCGTGGTAAGTGAAAATTTTTATTTTTTGTGCCTTTAATTAACGTTTTTCAGAAAAATCCACACAGAAATGAGTTCTTTAATGGGCATGAAAGGTGTTGAGCCCAAAAACAAAAATTTCATAAAAATTCACAAACCTGCGGAAAAATGCAAGTTTCTTCACTTTGATTATTTTGACGAGAGCCTGATTCCACCACGCTGCCTCACATATTGATTTGACTCAAAAGTGTACTCATTTTATTTTTCATTGTTCAATATTTTTTACGTGCCCATTGACATTATTTATACCATTTTGGAGGCAGCCTTCGACTCTGCCTGTCAGGGTGAACCGAGGATGAGCGGGATACAACGTCCCAGCAAAAAGACCAACCAAGACATTCAATACAGAGTCTCCCTGTCGGGAATCGGAATCTGGTCTTCTACGTGCGACGGCAAAGCGCCTGACAGTTACACCACAGACGCCGGTAGAAAGTGTATGGTGTAGCCTCCAACACTCTCAATAATGATAATAGTAAGACTTGAGAGTTTGAATCCCTCAGTCTCAGTTCACGTTATAAAAATAGTGCGTCTCGTTCATGCTGGCTCCGGTTGTACTGTGGCCTGTGGCAAAGAAACGCTAGAAGAAGAAAAATAAGATAAGATAAGATAAGATAGTACTTTATTATCCGAGAGGGACATTTTCCTTGGCTGTACAGGACCGTAAAAAGACATGCAGGTATACATTTAAAAAAATAAATTTAAA